GCCACTGAATGCACTGAGGGAAAAAAAAAAAATATTTTCAAAACAGAAAACAAAACTGGCTCAAGAAGTCTTCGTCTGTGAATGGTTTGAGGCTGGGAGAGTCCCCGTTCTTGCATAAATCACAGCTAATCACTTAATGTAAAAACCTTCATACTTCTGTTGTAAATATTGTCTTTCCATTTTCTTCAAGTATTTTTATAAAAATACAAGGAAGACACTCCTAAGTAGTATTAAAGCTGTGTATTCAGAAGTTACTAAGTGCCATTAGTTAAGCAGTTACGTTAACTCTGTATTATAATTTCATTGTAATACATTACTTTTTTCCATGCAAACCTTTTCACTGTGTGACAGTGAAAGTTGTTAAATGTGTGCTGCCCATATAGCTTGTCCTATATTGCTTATTTTACGCATTCACTTAAAAACATTTTTTCTTAGAAATCTACTTTCTAGGGTACTTGAAACAATAAGAATCTCACATATTTCCTTTAGTATGTGAGAGAAGTGTTTATTTCCATCTCATAAATCTAGAGACTGACCTGGTTTTACATGTAGTTCTGGAGTCTGAAGCAGTTTGTCCCTGGTTCTGTGCTTTCTGCTCATTTTGAGTTAAAACGAGAACTTTACATTATCCAGCATCGTTACAGGCTGTACTGACAACCGTCGGTGTCGTACAGCCCGAGATACTGTGCTGGTTACCTAAGGGGACAGTGGGAGGTGGGCTTTTTAGGAAGCACACCTGACAGCGAGCAGCATTGTAGGGGATGGTTGGCCAGGCTGTTCTGCAGATATTTCAGAACAGTGTAGCTGTGGGTCTTAGTGCATGGCAATCTGCACAAATATCTGTGATATTAAGCCTAGAAAGCTCGCTCTCGCTTTCGAAGGTCTGTGCTTCCGTCTTAGCGCGTGTAATGCCAAGTACATTGTTCTCCCAGCTATCCTGTGTGGGGTAATTATACTGCTGTCTTGGTTTGCTGCATGAGCTACACAAACACGTCTGATTTTTTTTTAATGTGGGGAAACAAAACGTTTCAGAGTTGCTTTTGAATCCTCAGTTTAAATATTCTTCTCTTCATTTGCGCCCATCACTTCTCTTCCAGACAATAGCTTTTTGTTCCCTGTCTCAACGAGAAAATTCTTGGGGGAAAATATTTAGAAAAAATCTTGAAGTTCATTAGGGCATGAACGGTGTTATTAGTGTATTAAGCCAACCACTTGAAAGACATTTGTGAGGATAAGACTGATAAGGCTTAGTGTAAGGCACAGAAAACTTTTGGTGTAAAGAGGAATGTTACGGAGGGGTAGCCTTTATTTATGTTTATGCATGGTTTAAGCATTCCAACACGATACGGTACTAATGCTGTTTCTGTTGTCTTCTAAGTCTTAATGTTTGTGTCTAGAGAGTGAACTAAAACTTCTGACAGATTGATATGTAGTTTGGGACATCAGTGTGTATTGTGTAATCCAGCTGTGGCAATGGGGGTGATTTTGGGAACAGTCAGATATTGGCTACTTACATTTATTGCTAAAGCAAGACATGCCATTTAAATTAATAAACCGTAACAAAACCAAAAAAACCTTTTGCTTTTACTTAAAAAAAAAATAAAAATAAAATAAACAAAAAGCAAACAAACAACAAGAACAACATAAAAACTTAAAACAAAAAAAAAGTAAAATGGCAGCATATTTGTGGAGTATGCGTATATAGCTGTATGTGTATATACTATAGCTGTAGACTTTTGAACACAAATAGTGTGTGAGCATGCACTCAGATTACAGCTGCATAATTTATATTTGTAGTGAACTGATAAGAAAAGGACATGGAGCTGTAACTTTTATCTCATGTAATTTTAGTTACAGTATATATTTTTTTCAGTGGCATAGAAACACTTTTTGATATAGTTGCTACCAATAGGCGTGGTATATCAATATCACTATCAATGGTCTGATATTTTAACATAAGAACTAACTTCTGTTTTGTTTTCTAAGGAAGCTCAATAACTGGTTGTTTTGCAGTTTTATGGTTTGAGGAGTTAATTCTTAAGTTCCAGTGCCTAAAGGAGGGCTTAAGTCCTCCTAAAGTAAGAATAGCTTTTCTTCTGCGGCAATCAACATGCTTTGTGTATGAATGTTAATGCAGTTACAGGGAGCGCTTAGGTGTTGTATTACTATCTGAACTAACAGCTTTGGAATAAAGCCAGCATGTGGCCAGGAAAGCAGCCAATAGCCTGGAAGAAAAATGTTTTAATTAGTATGTAATAAGTGCTCTAGAGAACTCTTGCAATCCTGGCAAGCTGTGCATTTGTAATTTTTCATATTAGTTATTTGGGACAGTTACTGTAATTTATGTTTTAAAATGCGGAAGACAATTACAACTTGTACCTTTCTCACACTGAGTGGAAGAAGTGGAAGAATGCCTGAAAGCTTATTAGGGCAAAGAAAAATTGAAAATCACATATGGCCTTCAACTTCTTCACAGAATCAAGATACTGCAGTAAGACCTGCTTGCCTTAAGGAAATAAATTATTCACACGTGCTCTTCTGCTTATGATATCTTAGTTTATTTATTTATTTATTTATTTTAGTTAGTTGTTCATGAGAGGGCTGCAGTTTCCTGTAGGTGGGTAAGTGGTAAAGCTTGGACTCCTGCTTCTGGATTCAATCGTGGTGCTGTTGTGAAATGCATCAGTGTGTCGGGTTACGTGGCAAGGGCTTGGGTGCAGGGGGCTGTAGGGGTGGCCTCTGTGAGCAGAGCCCAGCAGCTGCCCCAGGTCAGAGCAGAGCCAGCTCCAAAAAGGGACCTGCTATGGAGGTTGTGCTGGGTCTGGCAGGGATGGAATTAACTTTCCCTGCAGCCTCCTGGCTACCAAAACCTTGCCATGTAAAAACAGTGCATTCATAATAAGGTCGTCGTCCTTCCTTTCTACCGCACGCTATGTGGGAAATCTGTGCAACCCCCCTTCTGTTGTAGGCCAGCCTGTCATTGCAGTAATAAGGAGGAAATCAAGTGATAAAGGCATGTTTCTTTCATTAGGAAACATGAAAAGACAAAGTCAGCATGTTGCTAATTGAATGTCATTTGAGCTGAATGTTTTCACTGCAGGCTTTTATATTCTAATTTTATTAGCTCTGTAAGCCATTAAGAAGTACTATAAAATATTTGATTAAGCCAAGGAGAATGCTACACAAACCACACAGCCTGTGCTAACTGGGAAATAGGACTGCTGCACGCTTACACGGGGCTCTGAAGTAACTTGGGCTGCGACTTTATGCGGGCTACTTGAACTCTTCCAGTTGCCCACCTTCTTCAGCTGGTTTGTCGCAGGGAATGAGGCCTCTCATAGGCAGGCAGAAAGGAGCTTCAGACATTTCTTTGACCACTGCTGATCTGATGACAGTGAGCCTTGCCATGCCCACTTCCCAAGCTCCAGCTGCCTGTTCTCTTGGCCTTGGATGGCAGAGGCAGGCATGCCCCACCAGCACAGGCTGCCCAGAGAAGCTGTGGGTGCCCCATCCCTGGAGGTGTTCAAGGCCAAGCTGGATGGGGCTTTGGGCAACAAAATGCCTCTACAAAATGCTCCTTGAAACTCCACGATATTTATCACATGCTCAAAAAACAAAACAACCCCCCAAAAAAGAACAACCACCAACACACTCGCACACATAAAAACAAACTATCCCAAACAGTTCATAGTTCATTGAGATCATTGTTTGCACTAAAATTACGGTTTTATTTCATGTGCTCTCATTATTTGTCTCTAGCCATCTGTTCTCTTTTGTCTTTCATTTACATTGTAAACTCTTTTGAAGAAATGGTTCTTTGTTTGCTTGTTTGTTTTACTCTGTGTTTTTTCAGTGCATAGCACAATGGGGTCTTCATTGGTGCATATGCCTCATCAGCACTTCAGCAGCTTATAAATCTTGGTATTGGTATATCTGCTTCCAAACAGTGTCCCTTAGGTCTCTTGGATACTTATTGATTTCAGGCAGCCTTATTTACCCTTATCACTGAATCACAATTGCTTCTCTAACTCTCTTTAGCAAAGATACTCTAAACAAAATCCCAACACAAATTTAAACCTATTCCAGAAAGGAGTTAAGATATTTTTTCCCAATGCATCTTGCATCAAAAGCTTTTTTCACTACTTTTCCTCCCCTAAATAGATGGGGAAGTTTACCCACTTCTATATGCTTGTTATAAACACTGTGTTAGAACAGCATGGGGGGTTACCTTTATGACCTGGGAGCACCACTGAGTGTAACGTCACTAATGTGTATTTGGGAAAATGATTACATGATAGCTGGTAAATGATGCAGTTCTGTATGCCCATATAAAATGAAGCAGAAAGTTGATTTTTAATTTAAAATTAATCAAATACTCTTCCACCTAAGTTACTTGAAGATATTGCAGCACGTGAGTCGGTATGCTCGAAATTCAGCCACAAAAGTGTGTTTTGTAACTTTAGTGAACTCACCTGAACTGAGTCTTAATGATCTAAAGATTCATTTATTTATAACCAAACAACTATGGTTTAAACAATACTTTTAGAGCTGGAGCTGGATCTAGATCGATGCAATTAAAGTTTGTTAAACTTTTCAGCAAACCTAGCTGCTTAAAGTCATTGAAGCACAGACTTAAATCAAGTGAAATGTATTACTATATATTTCAGAATGAACGTGGAGTTATCGTTAATGGGCTAGTCATCATCTTCAATACTTGCTCAGTCACTGGTGGAATAATTGTGTTGAAAAAAAAAAAAGAATACAGAAAAGCAATAATAATTTGTGTAGTTAATTGTATTTCTTCAACTGATGAAGTCTAAATCATTTGATCGTGTAAATTGCTCAGGCTTTTAATTTTTACCATGTTAGGTAAATGTATTTTAAAAACTATATAAATATACAGTTTTAGGTATCATGATATGTTTCTGAATTAAAACAAATAGTAGCTGAAAGCTTAAATTACTCAGTCTTCTAAAACACTGTCTTTTTCTATTCTGCAGCATGGGTGAGCTCTCTTTCTATGGGAATGGTCTTCTTCTGTTCTCCAATAGTCAGCATATTCACAGACCTGTTTGGTTGTCGAAAAGTTGCTGTTATTGGAGCTGCAGTAGGGTTTGTTGGACTCCTTTCAAGTTCTTTTGTAAGGTAAAAGCATTTATTTACATTCAAAGTATATTTTATCAGTTTTACAATGTAGAGGTTATGTTGGTCCTATCAGCTGAATATGAAGAAATAAGCAGTGCTACTTTATATTATCTTCTAGCTGAAGCTTAGAAACCTTGTTCTATCTGTTTCTGTTTTTCTAACTATATGCCTTTTGTCGAAACTCCCGAGTGGAGCTTTTAACTTCAAAAATTATTTTTAAAATATAATCTAACCTCATAACAGCACATCCTATTTAACAGGATCTACTATGTGTGAGTCTATCGACGGCAAGACTACACAGTAACCTCCAGGGAGGTGTTAATCCTCAGTCAAATCAATGTTTTCTTCTATTCTTACTGTTCCAGTTGCCTAACCCTAAGATAGTGACAAACTTGGTACAATGATATATGCTTAGAGTTTACTGTCTTTAAGGAAATCTCAGTTCTTTCTTTTGTGACTAAAAATACTTAAACAGTAGACGAGTGGTTTTCTTCCCTCCAGATTACACTTTATTTTCTGTAAATTTTGCAGAATAAATCCTAAAAAGTTTGAGTGACTGCTTTGTTTTACATGCACAGTAGAAGATGAGGAAACAGGAAACTTACTTTAGTCATCAGCAGAAACTGTTTAGTGAAGATAGGAAAATAGCAAAATAAACTATATTTACATCTAGTTCTTAGTCTTAGCAGAGAACAGAGACTCTGCTAAGTGCATACAAGGCTTGAACGAAAAGCAAAATTCTGAAAAGTTTTCTGCATAGAAGAAAACATATCCATACCAACAGGCTTGTGAGAATGTGCTTTCTGTGCCTGTGTTCTGAACCAGACAGATGTGAGCTCTCTGTTATCTGAATGGGTGGATGTCAATGCTGCATGGCACCATGCCTGAGCCAATGCATCTAGCTTGGGTTATGTCCTCTAACGTGAAAACATACCCACAAGTTTACTGAAAGAGAAGACAAGTGGTCCTGGCTTAGGTGCTGAGATTTGTGTTTTTATTTATTCTGACAATAAATACTATTTATGGGAAAAGGTAAACTACTACTTGCTACTTGAGCAAGTGTCTCTCTCTTTTTTTTTAGTTAATCCAAATGCAAATACATTTTATTTAAAGCAAACAAACTAAACAGAGCACCTACTCCGTGATATGTTTTAAGAGGCTTGTCACCACATTTGAGGTGAAAACTAAAGAATATGTATTGGAAAAGTCATTTCTCCCTGTATAACACAATATTGTGGTAACTGATAAATAATAACAGAGCCTCATTAATGCTAAATTAAAAGGAAAGTTGTTTCCTGCCTTTGAAGATGAGGTTGTCATCCTTATACATTTCCCTGATATCCACTGGAACAACACTACAGAAGCTGCATGCCAAAGGAAGTTATTTTGTACTGGTTTTAAAAAATACTTTTAGCTTGTTTGAATTTTGTTTTAGAATTTGAGCAGCACTTGTGCTTTGGATGAGAGATGAGTTCTTATTATAGTACATTACAGGTTAATGTGCATTCTTAGTGTTTTATTGTGTTACTCACACTATAAAATGATTTATGCTGATGTTATCAGTTAATTGAGGATGTATAGTTCAGATATAGAAGTGCTCTAGAAGTGATGAAATTTCATACAGCAGGCAAATCTAAATATGATTTACTGCTTTTGTTACATACATACTTGATACAAATTGTATCTCTTAGGAAGCTGAGATGTAAGAGCATTTGCAGTGCAAGAAAAATATTTTTTTGATGTATATCATACTGCAAACTGTTTGAATCTACAGAAAGGAAGCAAAAGTTATTTGTCCTTACTGTATTATGTTCCTCCTCTCATTTTATATCTTCTGATTTTATTTTTCTTGGATGTTTTCCATTGCTTAAGGTAATCAGTCTTTCCCTCTTACACTGTTTCTTTTGGCTACCTCGTATATAATGTTTTATAAATTGATAGTTTAGTTTCGAAAGCAACAATAATGTTACACATGTAGTCCTTTTCACAATTACATACAACACCATAGTTGATGGTTAATCAAATACTGTTTTCTAAGAATTTCTGTAATTGCATGGGAAGCTTGCAGAACATGCAGAGATGCTGGCAGCTAACATTCTGTGGTGAAACACGCCAAATAAAGCATTCATACTATTAATAAATAAATAAACTGTTTTTCTGCAGCTGCTTTAAAAGCGGGTGTTAGCAGATTAAAAAGAACCTATGGTTAATTTATAAACATATATATATATTTTAAAAAAGTAAAAAAATCACATTTCTCTTTAGAAAGTTGTTATAATGCTTCTCGCACATTGGTGCCCTTTCATCAAAATGTAAAAATGTTTTCTTTGAATTATCAATAGTAGAGTACTAATTTAATACTAACACTGTTACTACATACTGTTAAGATTTCTTGCACAACGAGCTTTTTATGTCTGTCTGTGATATAATGCAATGGCCTTAATTAACTTCAGTCATGCTGTATAGTAGGTGATGGTGGAGAAACTTGTGATGGGGATCCTCCTTAACATGATCTGAAATACTTCATTGTTAATTCTTTTTTCTTTCTTGGCATATCCAGTATCTGAATCAAAACAAAGAATTTAGAATATATAATAAAGAAGGGAATATTTGTCTTAAACCATAATAACTAAAATTCTGTAATTTCCTAATAATGGTTTATATTACTAAAACTTAAAAAAAATATCTTTTTATTACTAATAATGCTTACTGCTTTTGCTGTTGTATTTTCATAATAAGCTATGTAAATGTTTAATTCTTCTCGGTTCATGAGGAGGACCAAATATTATGTTTGAACTGCTAGAACAAGGAAGAAATGTGTAAGCCAAAGCAATATAATCATATTTAAGCAAACAAAAGAAACGTTAACAAATAATAATTAAAAAAAAAAAACAAACCAGTAATATGTTTAAAGTTATATTTGGCGCATTCATCTTGACAATGATTTTTAAAATTTTATTCAGACTACTTGGTATAATTCTACTGAAATACCTGCTACTTGGTATAATTCTACTGAATTAACTAATTCTGTTCAATGAAGTTCTAGGAAATGTTCATTATAAAAAAGAGTTGATTAATTAAGTTTACACGGTGTAATTCAACCACAAGTACACAAACTCTTAACTCACTCCTGAAAATCTGTCAATTCATTAGAAAAACTCTTGTATATGGTAGTTCAATGTGAGTATAAGTGCTTAATGAAACATTATTTTTTTTTCTTTTCTTTTGATACAGCACCATTGAACCTCTGTATTTCACCTATGGAGTCTTATTTGCCTGCGGCTGCTCATTTGCCTACCAGCCGTCTTTGGTCATTCTTGGGCACTATTTCAAGAAACGCCTTGGACTAGTGAATGGCATCGTCACTGCTGGCAGCAGCTTATTCACTGTGACACTGCCCTTCCTCTTGAGAGTTTTGATTGATTCTGTTGACCTGTTCAACACCTTACGGGTCCTGTGCGTCCTCATGTTTATTCTGTTCCTGGCTGGCTTTACGTACAAACCCCTCGTTTCCAACGCCAAAGACAAGGAGGTAGCAAAGAAGGGCAAGTTCAGATTTCCTCCTGAGAAAAAGATTTTCAATTTCTCCGTTTTCAAAGTTATGAGTTACCGAATCTGGGCTTTTGGGATTCCAGCTGCACTTTTTGGCTACTTTGTGCCTTATGTCCACTTGGTAAGTGCAGATCTTTTCCTGCATATGATGTATTTAAAAGTACTGTAATTTCCCTTTGTGCTATGAACAAAGATCAGTGATAGGAATCAACATTTAAGTTAAAGATGTTTTGGGGAGAAACATGAAATTAATTCTGATGATGTCTGTGATTAAAGGAGATTCCAGGGCTCTAATCAAAACCAGTAGACAAAGCCAGTTAAAATTTTAGCTCCTTGTTCTCAACTTCAGGTTCTATAGCAAGAAAGATGTAAAATACTTTAACCATGAAAAGAGACATTTGAAAAATATTCTGTGCTATTCTGAAGAGGGTGATAAGGAGGATTGCTTGTTGTTTTTGCCACTGAGCTGCAAACATTGCCAATGGTACTTGTGCATTTTAGAGGTATAATGAGAGGAAGGAGTAAATAGTAGGAAAAGGGAAAAATATCTGATTTCTAATTTTTGTTCCATTAAATTATGATATGTTTGTTAAAAATTGCATTTTAGGCTATATTTTATCAGCTATTTTCCTTTTTTTGTTAAATGCAAAAGATTAGGATTTATCTGTCTCTCAGACTTTAGTTTTGTGGTTTATCACTATAGCACATATTTCTGGCCCTGTTATCTTGGGGCTTCTAGTTGCCATTTCAACATTTTTTTTTTTATCACTGTTTACAATAACTGCTACAGCATTAGTTTCTGATGGTGGGGAATCTGGCAATCAACCATTTCTTATTCATGTACTGAACCTTTTTTTGGCGTGTACACTTTTAATCTAAGACATTTAGATGCAACTGGGAGATGCATTATATGAAGTGTAGTTAAGATGAATTTATACAGTGGTGAATTACGTTTGAGCCCTGGTGGTGCTGTCTAAACTGAAGTGTTGCAAACCAAGAAGTTAAAAGGGGAAAGAAAACAAACCACCAAACCTGCAATGGGCTGTGCTATTTACATCATCTCTCATCCTCCCATTCAAGAGCATTTGATAAAGGGCATGGTCTAGTAGATTTAATACACATTATGAAAGCAGGGATATCACATTAATATTTATTATTCATCCATGACATTACAGTAAGATTCATGATAATAAATGTCTTGAATTCTGTCAAAAATCTTCTGACTCTTTATAAGCCCTTCAGTTTGTGTATAATATAGTAGGTGGCATTACTGCATTCTGGTAATAACACATTGGTGAGGTTACTGACTCTGGATCATGCATACTAACATTAGAAAAAAAATACCTAGGGGTGTGCAGTGGTTTGCTTTTGATCAGTTATAAACTGATTTTTATTCATGGCTGGTTCTTGTTACTTAATTTTTAATGATGAGTAGATCTTATTCTGTAAAACAGTGAATAGTCCTTGGAAATTGTCTAATTCAATGACGAGGCTAGGGTGACATCTTTCTTCACTATGACAGATTTCTTTACTGAAAGTGCTGTGAGGCATTAGAACAGGCTGCCTAAGGAAGTAGTTGAGTCACCATCCCTGGAGGTCTTCAAAAGACATGCAGATGTGGTGCTTAGGGACATGGTTGAGTGGTAGCCTTGGCAGTGCTGGGTTAACGGCTGGACTTGATGACCTTAGAGGTCCTTTCCAACCTAAATGACTCTATGACTCTAGATCTCATGCTTTTTTTCAAAAATTCTGTAGAGATGTTCTGAAATAAAACAGTGTTCAGAGGAATAAAGGGGAAGTGCTGTAGAGCAAGCATTACACAATCACTTTGGAAGGGACCTCTGGAGGCCACCTGCTCCAACCCCTGCTTAAGCAGGGACAGCCAGAGCTGCTTGCCCAGGGTGTGTCCAGGGGGCTTTTGAAGACATCCAAGAAGGAGACCCCACAGCCTCTCTGGGCAACCTGTGCCTGTGCTCTGTCACCTGCACAGCACAGAAGTGCTGCCTGGTGCTCAGATGGAGCTCCTTGCTTTACGACAGGCTGCCCAGGCAGTTTGGACAGCGCTCTCAGACACATGGGCTGGTTTTTGGGTGGCCCTGTGTGGAGCCAGGGGTTGGACTCCAGTGATCCTTGTGGGTCCCTTCCAACTCAGGATATTCTGTGATCCTAAAAAAATTTGATGGAAGCTATTTGTAATACAGTGGTTGATATCCTACTTTTAAATAGTCCTACAGTGTTTATAATCTATTATTTTAAAGACTGCCTCCAAATTATAGTAAGAGATTTAAATGCTTTTTAATGCCTTTTTTTTTTTTTTTCGATTCAGAGGAATAATGAAACCTAACTTTTTAACTAAGTCTTTGGTAGTCAGTTTGGTTTCTATGTCCCTTTTGAGAGGGGAAGCTCTACCAACTTGTAGGAACTCCTTACTTTTAAGTCTTATTACTGAAAAAAAAAAACAAACCCTGAAACCCACAAATTTTAATTTTTCTATTAAGTACCTAATTTTACAGTATAATTGCTCTACTCCTCCTATAAACCAGAGGAAAATCTTAAATAATGCATAGTAAGCTCCCACTGTTTTTGAATACAGTCCTTCTAAACAAGAAGCATCTTAGCTTTCGTTCTTGTATTTACACATTTCATTCATATAAATGGTAGCTAGCATAATAATTTCAAAGGGAAGGTATTTTTTATAACTGGACACTTGAAAGATGAATTTATTTTTATGAAAACATGAATAAGTAAAGAACTATAATGCTATTTGCTGGTGGGCAATGATGTGTAGAGCTATCTAGGTTTGTTGGACTTGGTGCTCTTGAAGGTCTTTTCCATCTACCTGATCTATGAAGTCCCACTGTATGCTTGGAGGACTCCCTAAAACTTTAGAAGGTCTCCGTGGATCTGTATTTGAAAGTCTGAATATGCAAGTGTTGGAGAACGCCTCTGTGAGGGAACAGCATGAATTCTGCCCTTCAACACAAATACTTAAACTCCAGTAGATAACTCTGGATTTTTTTTTTGTCTGCTTTGATTAAAAAAACAAACAAACAAAAAAAACCCCACAGATTTTATGTACTTCCAAAAGGTCCAGATAAATTGAAGGCTATAAAGAAAAGAAAAATGACCTTTGTTTGTGCATCTTCCAAACCAAGAATTACTTTCCTCTGCTTTAGAAAATGAAAGTTACTCCTGTCCCATGGTTTACTGTGTTGTTAAACTTGTATGCAAGACTGGAAAAGGGATTTCATGCTTGGACAACTGACAGCTTTCATTATGCTAAAACTCTTGAAATCTTTCTGCTGTTGGGGATGGTCGGCAATAGTCAGGCTGCTAGACTGCTGCTGGTTGCAAGTGCCCAGTGAAAACAAATCTACATGTGATGCTCCAGGAAAGATTTAGGGATGGAGTTGTAAATTATTCTCCTGAAAGTAAGAGTTTCCTCTGCTGCTAAGGCCTGCCTTGGGCCTGTCCAACTTGAAAATTATGCCCAGCCATCTTCTTTACCTGTGTACTACTACCTTTTATCAGGATTTCGCTTTGTTTCCATGGATCTCCAAACACCACCCGTGAAGCGGGCACATGCTCCACGTGCCTACCAGTTGTGTGCCACCAGTCGAGCCTAGCAGAGCTGAAGGTTGCAGGCACAGTGTGCTGCAGGCACGGTGTGCTACAGGCACAGCACATCAGCTGCTGCCTGCTGGCTTGGCACAGCAGCTGGTCAGTAATATAATATCTGGCTCTGTCTGCTTCTGAGGCCAGAACGGATTTCTGTTTCGTGTTTCCTGAAGCATATTGGGAAGGAGGAGGTAAGAAAGATATATAAGTTTATTTTGGGTTTTGGAATAAGAGCCATGCCTTCACAATTTTATCCAGCCTCTCCATTTTTGCTAGATTGAGCAAAAGTCTGTTAAAACAAGATAAAAGAACCTCCCATGAACTAGGCTGTAACCAAAATTAAACAAATGAGCAAGTTATATGGTGTGCTAGCTGGCGTGAGTTACCAGTGCCTGATTTGCAGCCATCTGCTATATTTGAAATATATGTCATATTCCTTTTGTCTTTTCAAGGTGAGAATCAAAAAAGGAGAACTTTTATTTAGCCCAACTTGCTTGATGTCAAATTCTGCTAGTGTGTGTTCCATTCCATACAATTTTGGTGAACTGGGCTAGGAGAGTTAGTATACAGTAGGTTTTGACTCAGTTTTATTATATACAGTGATAATCAGTGATTCAGATTGTTGAATAAGAAGTTAATAGTTCATGGGATTACTAAAGCAAATGGCCAACACTCCTCTCAATTTTAAGTATCTCCTTATCATACATTGTTAATTCTTAGGAACTTGTTATTTCAACTCTGTTTAAAATGTGACATGACACCAAGCTAGGTGCGTGTGTCGATCTGCTCGAGGGTAGGAAGGCTCTGCAGGAGGATCTGGATAGGCTGCACCGATGGGCTGAGGTCAACTGTATGAAGTTCAACAAGGCCAAGTGCCGGGTCCTGCACCTGGGGCGCAATAACCCCAAGCAGAACTACAGGCTGGGAGAGGAATGGTTGGAGAGCTGCCAGGCAGAGAAGGACCTGGGAGTGATGGTGGACAGTCAGCTGAATATGAGCCAGCAGTGTGCTCAGGTGGCCAAGAAGGCCAACGGCATCCTGGCTTGTATCAGAAACACTGTGACCAGCAGGGCTAGGGAGGTGATCGTCCCCCTGTACTCGGCTCTGGTGAGGCCGCACCTCGAGTACTGTGTTCAGTTTTGGGCCCCTCGCTACAAGAAGGACATCGAGGTGCTTGAGCGGGTCCAAAGAAGGGCGACGAAGCTGGTGAGGGGCCTGGAGAGCAAGTCCTATGAGGAGCGGCTGAAGGAGCTGGGCTTGTTCAGCCTAGAGAAGAGGAGGCTCAGGGGTGACCTTATTGCTCTGTATAAGTACATTAAAGGAGGCTGTAGAGAGGTGGGGGTTGGCCTGTTCTCCCATGTGCCTGGTGACAGGACGAGGGGGAATGGGCTAAAGTTACGCCAGGGGAGTTTTAGGTTAGATGTTAGAAAGAATTTCTTTACTGAAAGGGTTGTGAGGCACTGGAACGGGCTGCCCAGGGAGGTGGTGGAGTCACCATCCCTG